ACCGGCGCGCTGGCACACTCGGGCCGGCCTGGGGCGGGGGGGTGCGGGCTGGGGAAGGGGCTTGGCCCACGTGCGGTCACCCGCGCCGGGCCGTTTGGCCGACCGGGGAAATCGGGGTGTAACGGAAGACAGGCCGCGGGGGTGAGGAAGGCCTGGGGTAACAGGTGCCTCACCTTAGCTGATGGGATTAACTCTAGGGCCGTAGAGAGAGGGAGCCCGGCAGCAAAATCCCAGGAGAGGGAGAGAGAGGGAGCCTCTGGCGGCCAAGGAAGGGCGAAAAGCACCGGCCCGAGGCGAGGCCGCCCCACCCCCTCGGCCGTGGGCGAGGGGCCTCTCTGGCCCGGGGCAAGGCCTGCTCTTCTGGGGCCTGGCCGCCTTCCTGTTCGGGTTTTGGTTGAAAACCGGGTTCTTAGGTTGGGCCTCTGCTGAGGCCCCACACAGTCTGCAGTTAACTCCGTGACCCCAAGGTATCCAAAACCCGGGCCACTCTCCCGGCATGGAAGGTTAAGACCTAGGCCCAAGTCTGGTGTGGCCTCCATCTAAGCCACTGCGGCTTGCCTGCTACCCACCTTGACCTTAAGGCCCCACTGCTAAAAGGAAAGGGATTAGAAGATCTTGAGAATTTCTTGTATGGGGAATTGTTAACCTACTCCACCCTTTTATAAATACTCAGTACTCCCTCTCCCCCCAAAAAATACCAGAAGTGTGACAACCTCACTGGAAAATACAAAACTGATCATAACTGTCAGTATAGGCCTCTTTTTTTTTTTTTTTTTTTTTTTTTTTTTTTTTTTTTTTTTTTTTTTTTTTTTTTTTTTTTTTTTTTTTTTTTTTTTTTTTTTTTTTTTTTTTCTTTTTGACCGGTAAGGGGATCGCAACCCTGGGCACGATGTGGTCCGCACCACGCTCAGCCAGTGAGCGCACCGACCATCCCTATATAGGATCCGAACCTGCGGCCCTCGGCACTACCAGCGCCGCTCTCACCCGAGTGAGCCACGGAGCAGACCCGTCGGTATAGACTTTTAAACCAATCCTCCCAAAAAGTCTATGGGCCTATGGCCTATGGAACAGAAAGTCTTAATAATTTTCCAGGAGGGTAAAAACACAATTCTCTGAGGTCAAGCGTTCAGATCTCCGCACCAGCCAGCCATAAAAAAAAAAAAAAAACACGACTTTCATAGAAATGCAAAATGAACATGGGTCAAAATCTTTATTTTACTCCTTCATTAGTGAGGAAACCAGTAAAATATTGCAATCCATTCAAATGAGAATGTGAAGAACAGACATAAATAGGCAATCAGGAAGGAGGTAAAACTGCTTAATATTCTATAGGGCACAGAAATGTTTCGAATCACCTATTCTACAGGGCACCAACCAAGTGTATCTCTCAGTAACAAAATAAATTTGAATTTCTATAGATAAGGATCATTTACATTTCCATAAATTTCTACAGCGTATTGAGTAGTATAAAATAGACTAGTGAAACGGGAGTCAAGATGGAGACTACTGTAGAATCTCAAAACTCCAAAGTCCTGTAGATAACATCCAACATTCCATTGAAAGGACAGGCTGTAACCTTTTGCTCATTTCAAAGTCTTTTACGAGATTTCCCAACAGAAGTATTATTATCTCCATTTTTCAGATGGGAAAACTACCGTTTAAGTTTTGTAACTCACCCACAGCTTTATTAGCTAGTAAATGATTATGGCTGGAGATGAACGCAGGCAAGTCTGTACACAGAATCCATGTACTCTGGAAGCAAAATCTTTCATTTTCAAAAGGACGTTGTAGCTACTCAATTTTATGTATCTTTTATTGTGAACAGTAAGGTGTTTTTTTTTTTTCCAAGCGTCACCAAATTCTGGGTCCTTTCCCAAGAAATGGTCTACGAAGTGGATGTCACTTCTACAAGCATAAACAGATGTAACAGGCAATGTGAGGGGGCTGTGGTTCCAGTCTCCACTTTTGGAAAGAACATTCGTGCTGTCTGGGATAATCTAGTGGAAAAGTTTCTGTCATTTATTTGCAGTATGGAAACCAGGTTTTTTAGGAGAATAACCTAAATAAATGCAGAATCTAATCACTGAGTTCTGTCTCTAGAAGTGGGGGCAGAGTTGGCAATAAAATCAGTCTTACACCTCTTTGCAAGAAAATGATTCATGCAGAAAAGCAGCCTAAAGAATTTGGTTGGTTTGGGTTTTATTTTTTGAAAATGTGAAACTTCTGGAAAAATTCATACCAAGGGAATGACACAGTTTTCAAAATGTAACACTGAGAATTTAAGATTCCTGGATAGCCCATAATAGACCTTCCACGTTTAATACTTACTGCAATGTTTAAACAGTCTACTAAACCTGTACAAACCCAGTACATGTGACTAACTTTAAATTAATTAAAATTAAATAATTAGAAATTCATGGGCCGGCCCGGTGGCGCACTGGATAGTGCGCCGCTTGGGAAGCACGGCGGCGCTCCCGCCCGAGGGTTCGGGTCCCACATACAGACCGGTTCCCGCTCACTGGCTGAGTGAGGCGCGGGAGCAACGCCGAGGGTTGCGATCCCGTTGCCGGTCCCCGGTCCGGTGCGGGGGCGACACTGAGGGTTGTGATCCGTTGCCGGACACGGAAAAAGACAAAAGACAAGAAATTAAGAAAACAATTCAATTTATAACAGCACCAAAAAAACCTCAAAAACTTAGAAACAAATTTAACAAAAGAAGTGCAAGACTTGTACACTGAGAAGAATAAAAATTGCTAAGAAAAATTAAGGACCTTCTTAATAAATGGAGAGATATCACATATTTATGGATTAGAAGATTCAATATTTTCAAGATGGCAATTCTTCCCCCAGCTGATTACATA